ATAGTCCACTCCAAGAGTACTCTACAATCTTTAGCCGCCCTTCTATGGACAAGAGCAATTTAAGAATAAGCTTTTTTCACATGTGGAAATTGGAACAAAATTTTCGAATCCCGTCGAAGATTCGAGTATTTCCGAGTTTTGGAACAATATTTTCATTTCAACTTCTAAAAATTTCTAATTTCGGATGTCTAATTCTAATTTTCCAAAAATCTAATCTTTTTTTTTTGGAAGTTACACTTAATTTATACAGATCAATATTATTATGTATTTTTTATAAGAGGTGACTGAAGAAATTAAAATTCTGAATTCCGCCCATCTAAAAATTTTCAATTTGGGAACATTTTTTTCCATACCATTTTCCGAAATTTCAGTTTTTCATTTTTTCTGAATATTTTCATAATGGAATTGAAATTAGTTTTACACTTTCGAAAAAAAAATTGAACTTATTTTGAAAGTGCTACTTCATCCAATATGTCCAGTTTTTTTTTTCTCTTGAAATATGCAAATATTTAAACACGTGTCAAATATCCAACGTTAGATTATACGTGTATTTGGTGGTACCGATGAGTACTGAGCGTGAAGAGTAAGAAAAATTGTATATGTAACAAATACAATGCGAGATGAGTCTTATAACATTTCTAACAAAATCGGTACAATTTTTTTAATATCCACCTCAGATCCTCACCTTGTCATCCCTACTTGTTACTTGTATTGTTTATGTTGCATCTGATGAATTTCACCGAGTTATACACGTTTATAGATCTATACATATTTTACAAGTTTATATATGTATATATGTATTTGATTGTGTGTAAGTATTCTCATATAAAGACACCTGATTTGGAATAGCACTATGCCAAAAGAAAGGAGGATTTTTTGAGTGAGCCAACAAAAGTAAGATATAAAAATAGGTAGGGAGTGTGCTCTCCACACATAAGTGGGGGAATATGGAATTATATTTTATTTTGAGGAAGTGTGCATTCCACACACTTCCCATAAGCTAATATATAATAAATTCAGATGGTCTCACAAACTTCATTGCTTTAATTTAAATATTAAATTGTTATTTTTTTTAGTTAGGTCATAGAATTTATTTTGTTAGTTAGGTCATAACATTGTTTATAAGTTATGCTTTCGGGACAATTGATTTAGTATAAGCTTTATTTGATTTTCTTGGTCTTCTTGATTAGGGGTGTAACCAGGGGCGGAACCAGGATTAGAAAGTAGGGGGGGCGGAATAAAATTTTGGGGTTCGGGGCAGCGCCCCGAAAAAAATTTTAGGTTCACCAGACATTAAAAAAATAGATTTATACTGCGAATTTTTAATTAAAATGATATATATATATATATATATATATATATATCATTTTATCATATTTCAAGTATGACAAAAAAATCTAAATTATTCTAATAATATATTGCACTTAATGGGATTTATGGCACTTCTCGTATTATTTTTTAGAGACATTGATATAAAAAATTAAAGATCAATAAGTAAATATTCATAAATTTTATTTAAAATAGTACAAGTTTTAACCATTTTATTTTATATTTTTATATTAAATATAATATATATCTATAATTTATATAAAATTGTGGAGAATAAACAAAAAAATTAAGGGTTAAAATGCATATTTACAAAACCTTTGGGGGGGCCAAAAGTAATATTAAAAAAATATTATGCCAAAACAGCAAAAAAAAAAAAAAAAAAATTCTTGGGGGGTCAACTGCCCCCCCTGCCCCTATGTAGTACCGCCAGTGGGTGTAACGAAGCCGAGTTTTGAATATTTTGACGAGCTCGAGCTAGTGGTAGAGTTCTTCGAGTATTTTGTTTTCGGGCTCGAGCTTGAGCCTGATTCCATTTTATATTTTTTATCTTTAATTTTATTTTAATAATATTATTAGAGTTATTATTTATTGTATTTTACTTTTTTAATATTTATATGACTTTATTATTTAAATTTGTATTAATTATATTTAAATAAAATAAAAATAATTAATTAATTAAAATTGAAATCAAAAAAAAAAAAAAAAAAAAAAAAAAAAAAAAAAAAAAATTTGGGGGGCTTTTTCGGTGTGGCTAAACAACTAAGAATGAGCTCGGGCTCGACTCGTCAAAAAGCTCAAGCTTGAAGAACTCGAAAAAATCAAATTCTAGCTTGAGCTTTTGTCGAGCCGGCTCAGTTCATTACATCCCCCATTCTTGATTCGGATTTCCCCACTTCGTTTCCTTGTTAACAAAAAACATTGTAACAATATAATTGAATTATTGACAAACTACATCAACCAAATAACAAACTCATTCTAAATACAAAAGTTGAATATTAATTTATAAAATTTACACAATAGAAGTTTGGCCAGGTTAGAAAAACTATGTACTTTTTTTTTGTTTAGCATAGTCCCTATAACATAGTTTAATTTCCACCTAAATAAGTACATAAAACAAGTCGACTAGCTCCATCCTAGACATACACAAATTAGGCATGTATCTACAGTCCCAAACTATTGCATATTATGTTAGGACCCCTAAACGTTATATATATATATATGAAAAAAATTACACCTACACCCCTCAGATATGCTCAAATAACTTCAAGGTCCTTGTGGTATCGGTAATTACAGTCACCCCCTAAAACATTGTTAGAAACTCTAACGAGATAATGCATTTGATAAGTTATATTCCGATAGAGTTCTAACAATTGTGTTAGGGGTGATTGTAATTACCGATACCACGTGGACCTTAAAGTTGTTTTAGCATACCTCAGGGGTGTAGGTGTAATTTACCGTATATACATCACACACTACGCATTGTGTTTGTTAGGGTATGTAACAACTTGCATGTGTGTGCTGTGTCGTCATTCTTAACTTGTATAATTAAATTGAGAAAATGGTGGTTATAAACTTTTAAGCAAATTTGACAATCATAGCTTTAAAGATTTCAACTTAAAAGAATATAATTGCCAACAACTAATTATATTTCTAAATTCCCATAAAGTTTGATATATTAACTAATTAATGAGATAATTAAGTACTAAGAAAAACCAAATCAATTGAACTTATACATAAACTTAATTTGATACACCAAATGTTAAACCAAAAGTTAGATGCCAGTGGAGCCAATCAACTTTGTTAAACCAAAAGTGATTCCCATAGCCAGCCATCCTCCAATCAGCACCCTCGACGCGGATCTCGACGGCGGCGCCCTCCCGATAACGGCCCCCAACCAGCCAAACCCCACAAGCGCCACGCTCACGGCGGCAACCACCGCCCCCAGCCTCACGCGGTAGTCCCTCACGAACGCCGCGGCCAGTAGAGGCACCACCGCCCCAACCGCAAAAGCAAGCGCCGACGCGGCGGCCGCCTGCATGGGATTCGGGAGCTTCTCTCTCACGCCGCCGTCGTTTCCACCGGACATCTGGCCCTCTCTCTTCATCTGCGCCACCTCTACGTCATACTGAGAGTAGACAGAAACGAATTCCCCGATGGCCATGCTGCAAGCCCCGGCCACGAGACCGGCGACTCCGGTAAGAATCATGGTCTTGGCGTCCGGTCGAACCGCCCCGATTCCCATCATTAGTGAGGCGGTGGATAAAAGGCCGTCGTTCGCGCCGAGAACCGCAGCCCTTAGCCACTGACCCCGTTTCGAATAATCGTGAACGGACTCGTCGTTCTGGCCTTCGATATCATGACAATCATTTTTAGGCAATATTTGGTTGTTGACAATTTGAGGGTTTTGTGGAGTGTTTGCTTTTGTTGTTTCCATGAAGAAATTGATCTTTTTTTTTTAAAGCAAGCTAAGGATAATTAATAAATAAAATATATTGAGGGTTTTGAGAGTATATATAGGAGAGTGTGGAGAACACACGCCATGGTTAAGGGTTAATTAAGGTATAATATGTGGGACATATGTGATTGTGTTTAGATTACCTTTTTAACCTTATTCTCCAACTTTTTTTTGGGCTAGTTGGAAAGAGAAACTACTTATACATGAGGAATCTGATGCTTTCACACTCTAATTTAGTTCATATTGTTAAGTAAACGCGCAACGATTATTCCGTCACGGAGATTGGGTTAGGTCGAGTCACTAATTGCTCTCCAATAGAGGTTATAGGGGGTGGGTAGAACGATAATCGAACATCGTTGTTTCTTTTGTCATACCACCAATCGATTTTAGAATAACTGGTAACATTTGAAGTACTCGTCTGAATTTTATTTATTATTTCATAAGAACAAAAGAAAAAATCGAAAAGGACACTTTTGTGCTCATATATGCTATGCTTCACTTTAATAACAAGAATAAAATACACCTAATCAACTTTATCTCCATTAATACACCGGCGGCGGGTAAAAAAACACTAAAATTGACTTTCGTATAAAGACTAATTAACAAACTGGAACTTCTGCATGTATTAGTTCTTTAAATTTCATCAGAAAATATTAAGGTGAGAATTTAAAATAGGATAAATTTTCCCTTTGTACTTTGGCTCGATATCTTTACCCCTTTCTACTCTCAATTTACTTTACCCCCTTCTACTCTCAATTGCATTGATTTGTCCCCATGTACTTGAAAATTTTGCGATGTGACCCTTGCGTTTAGTTTTCTTTGACCTTTGTCTTGAATTTTTAGTTTTTTCTTTTTCGTTTTTTTAATAATTATTTAAACTGTGAGAAGTGACGTTTAGTAATTTCAGAGCTTAGATCGGTATTAAGGTCAAATGTCTGACAACTAACATCGAGGGAAACATTGAGACAATTATTCAGGTGCAAGGGGAAGTAGAAGTTACCCTTTAATATATTCTCAACCATAATCATTTTAGATACCAAATTTGCAATAAAATTGGATATGAAACAAATAACAACCAGTTAACAATTTTAAGTAAAACAATCAACATGCTTAAAGCACATAGAATTCAATTCCACAATTCATTTATTGATTCAACGAGGAACCATATCTCAAAATTTCACATAACTTAAGAGTTTGCCCCAAAAAAAATACAACGAAAATAAAATAATTGGGCTCCGGTATATCAATGGAGTTCTCGTCTTTGTTATTTAAGATGAGCAAATAGCTTAGTAGCAACCTGCATCGGAAAAAAAATTAGCAAAACAAAAAAAAAGCGCAATGTGGCCAAAAGGTATAGATTGAAGAATGTGGGGCTTACGCATTTGTCAACACAGCGCCAGTAATCAAAGTATTGTCCAGTGCAATGCTTGTGCCCAGATTCATCATCTTTAATTCTCTTTGCACATGCCTAACACCACAAACGAAACGAAAAAAATAAAATAAATAAATTAGCATTATCATTGAAGCTGTTTAGCAGATTGATTAGCAAAATCAAGAATCAAGTATGATCGGAAGTGATGATTAATGTGTCCAAAAGGGCGTGTGTCGGCAGCACAAGCCACACGTGTATTCCCATAAATATAAGCTAGGCAAAATTCAATGATGAGCTAAAAGTTGGAATAATAACAAGTCTGAAGTTTGCATACGACGAGGAGAAGAATTAAGACACGGTAAACGAGGTTATACTAGAGTTGGAGGTGGTTTTAACAGAATAGCAATCGAGAACCAACCTCTTCCCAAATTCTCAAGTATGGGAAACTACTACGCTTATCCACGCATCTAGGTCTACTTAATCTCCACACTTCAAATTGAAATTTGAAACAGTGAGTTGCACAAAAAGCAAAATTTTCACAAACGTAAGTGGCTAAGTACTCCAAATTTATTTCACTGGCTACAATTTGTGATTTCTTAGAGCTTTTATGAACTTCGATTTTGGAGTTCAGAAAGCCTAATTCACGAGGAAATTCTCAAACAATAATTTACATGCAAAATTTAATCTGCCCAATGCATATAATAGGATTCTTAATTTAAGATCTGCAAACATTCTCAATATAGTCGATTGAACTGGGCCAAAGAAAGAGCCCTTCAGATACCGGATTTCGGAAATGGTAAAGCACAATCGATACATAATAATTACTTGAATTATCATTTATACTTTGTTTGCTGCATAGAAAACTCAACTGACAAAAATTCAGGTCACAACTCCAATCAAATAGAAATCAGTATAGACAGAAACGCAAGTAGAAACTCGAGAAAGAAAGAAAGACGGATTAAAACGAAAAGGATGCATAGAAGATGGAACTAAATATATTGTCAACCACTAAACATCAATCATCAATCAACTTAATTAACAAACGTACATACTAGTTATGCATAGAGAAATCACCTGATATTCTTTAAGTGGCCTCGTGCATGGTGCCTTGCATCGGTCTTCAAGTTCCCTCTTTGGATCTACAGGCTCTTCGTCAGACCTAAATAATAATAATAAAATGGCATAAAAAGTTAGAAAATCGAGGGTGTTTCTTCATTCAGCTCAATCATACAAATACTATGACTCTACGTCGTTATGTCAGCACAAAGGATTACATCTGATCAATCGTTCAGTATTTTTATCTAATATATAAAAAAAAACAAAAAATTTAGTCTTTCAAACCCTGCACCGTATTGAAAAAAAGATAAGTAAGATCCAACTTCGGCTAAGTAAGATTCCCTTAGTAAAAGGGGTGGTCAAGAACCGAGTAAACCATCAAGGAACGCCGGCCCCACTTATAGAGAAAAAACAGAGGTTTTCCGAGAGCTCAATGAAAAATGTCGCCTTCCAACATACGATTTTTTTTACGTGCAAATATATATTAATTCCTCAAGCATACAGTGTTTATTTGATCCTGGTAAAACTTAATAACACCAGATAAGCGTAGAAAGTGTGAATACGCATCTCAATAATCGCATCTGAATCACATAATATGCAGTTATTTTATAACTACAAACCAGGAAATGCACAGACCAAAACAATACTAATTGATTATTAATTTATAAAATAAGAGTGATTAACGCTAACACATCAACAAAAGCACCGATATCAATCTTGATAAAAATGAATTTAAAAAAACGTAAGAAAATGAAAAATAAATTATCTCAAAAGAGTAGAAGTAAAACTTACATGGTTAACAATGCCAACAATCAATCGATGCAATCTGCAAAAAAAATCAAATAAAATCTTATAAATTTCAGTGCCGAATATGAAACAAAAACCCTAGATTCGAAGATCGAAGGGATTGGATAACGAAAAGCATTAGATCTAGAGAGAGAAGTGGGGTGAAATCGGAATGAATTACCGGAGTAGGAGCGGTGGCGGAACCAGTGAGGGCGGAGGAGGAAGTGCAAAAAGATTAATTTGACTATTTGCTAAAAATGGGGTTGGGGTTGGGGAATTGGGGATTTGTCTAACGTACGCCAGGCGCATAGGGCACGCTGCTTACGTCACTAGAATTTACTGGAAACGCCTCGGTTTTAACTGTCGTTTTCTTTTTCCTTTTTTTATATAAGTAAAAAAGAAAAAAAGATTTTCCTCACTAATTATAGTAAATAAATTTGTCCAATATTTTAATTTATACTATATTAAATAATAAATATTGATAGATTAGCATTTAGCCCGGAAATATTTTTATCACATGGGGGCCCAAAATTTAATTAGACCCAAACCTATATTATTTTTTTACTAATCACATCCTTGAAATTCATTTACAGTTTGTCTTTGTTTTAAGGTTGGCTTAGGCGTTCGAGAGTTTTCGATGGGGTATTTCTAGCGTTTGTTTTGTGGCGCAGATAGCAATTCACGAATAATTTGGAGTATTACGAGCGTTAAGATTATTCTACGTGTTTCAAGTAATTCTATTTCTTGACTACATTAAATATATATTATATTTACATTTACTATTTATTCACATTAAATCATACATGTCATACAAAAGATAATTATTGTATGTCATAGTAAAAGGATTAGAATAAATTTTACCCTAAATAATAGTATGTGCAATTATAAATTGTTCAAAATTTTATTTCACTGTCGATAGCTGGTTTGTTCTATGTTACATTTGGCGAACTTTATCAAATTATATTTTATCATACATGTATATAAAACATAAATATTTTTTTCTACACATATATATATATATTTGTGTATATGATTGCGACTAATCAAATGTACACAATTTATTTTAATCAAGTGTAGCATCTTCAAAAGTGTGAAAATTTCAAATAAGTTGGAAATAATTCATGAGCTCATAAATTCACAACTTCGATGTGGATTAATGACAAAGAGTATGTACAAAATAACAAAAATATTGTTTAACTGTACGAAAGACGTAAACCACATTACGCTAATTATGTATGACAAGCTCGACTTGACGCCCGTTGACGAAGGGAACTTCTTGTCAGATACTCACAAGACTTATTCGATTATTACTATTAAATACTATTGACTAATTCATAAAGATTAACAATATGCATTATTAACCATCTAAGAAAAAATTATATATACATTCTTAACAAAATGTAAAATATAAATAAAAATTAAACTTCATTTAAATGCTAATATTTAATAAACTCAATATTGGCAACCTTCACACTGAAATTTGTAGAAAGTAACAAAACAATTCCTAAGATACAACAAAGTATTTTATGGAGATACTATTTAGTACTCGATTTTAATATCTAACGGAAGGACTCGGGGTGGAAATCGGAATGCAATTAGCATTTTTAAAAAGGATTTTTATTCCGGAGTGGAAAAATAATTTCAATTTCGATTTAGAAAAATTCGAAAATCGGAATTTCAGAAATTTTGGAATTCAATTGAGGGATACTTTTCCATTTATCAAAATAAAATAAAACAAAATAAAGGTTTAATTCTCCAAACACAAGCTCGAAAGCACTCGAATATGGATATCAAATTAGGGCACAGGTAAATTGGGGATTCCCCAACACATACTAACAATCGACAAAATTCACACGCAAGAGAAGTTGCATACTGTAATGAATCGTTTGTTTACCTTCGTCCGAGGTAATTGCGTAATTTAATGAACGAGTTCTAGTTACATATATACTGGAATTATCAGTACTTTAGGTTACGACGTCGTTTTTATCCAGTTGTTTTTGGAGTCATTGCTTCTGTGTTGAAATTGGATGAACAAATCTGCATGTTGATCAGATGTGTTGATCCTGTTGAAGATTGAAATGCAACAAAATGCACTTGCATTTTTTTTTTATTTTTTTTTTATATATAATTTGCATTATCCCATTAATAGAAATTTATTGGGATGTATCAGACTTTTGCTCAATATACTGTTTTGGAAACTTTACGATGTTGAAAACGAGGTTGCTGATTTCTTACTGTCTCGAAATCATAGAAGAAAAAGATTTTTTCTCACTTTTTTCGATTGTAGGTTTTTCTTATTTGACTAAGAATGGATTCCACCGCGAAGAAACGGAAGCGGAAGGCGATCTTCACCTTCACGGTCGTGAAAGAAACGGGGTTTTCACGTGTCAACTCAACAATGTGAGTATAAGCTGTTCAAAGATCTCCACAAGAGGTACAAGAAATTTCATGTGATTCAGGTAGTTGAAATTTCAGCAGTTTTTAGATTTAGTGGATACGTCGGGAAAATCAAAGGAGATGGTTTCGTAGATATTGAGCTCGAAACTGTTCTTTTATCGAGAAACGTGCTCGTATATATATATATATCATAATGTATAGTTGTTAGAAATATTTTCTTACATTTACTAAAATTATATTTAAGTAAACTTGTTTGAACACTGATTTAAATGGACACAAAATAACATTACGGGAAGTGGAATAAAGTAACAATTTAATGTAGTTTAAACATGCACTCGTCTTGCATTGGTATGTTTGTGTATGTATCAATTTTATAAGATAGACAGGAAAATATTTTAATGCCCCGTAAGATAGTTCCATGATGACGTGTATGTTTCCGATTGGCTCGTACATGTACTTTTTACGCGATTTTACAACTTTAGTTAGACAGGGTGTAGTCAAAAGTAAGATGGATTTTACTGCACAAATCGAAATTATTAATTTATTTAAGAAGAAAAAAAAGACACGAGCACAAACAGTCAAAGGCTAAAAAGCTATTCGGAAAAACTCGTAATAACTACAAATCCAATCTCTTAATTGTTTTTTTAGATGTGAGTACATAGATTACCGTGCATGCATCTATCTTGCTGTTGAAAGTTGGTGCTCGAAAAATAAATTACGCCCCAATCCCTAAGCCAACCACCTCGAAGCCATGCCATTGGCCAGTCGAGGAGGAATTGGCACCTGTCGGCTCGCCTATCGCCCAATCTATGTGGTCCCCACTTTATGTGACGATTTTAACAATGTGGTCACTGGTCGCGCGTCTTCATATACCATTTTTCACCCCTTGCTTTTACGAGAAAATTATATTCAATGCTACTCTGAGCGGAAGATTTGCTTTTGGATTTGAAAATCTTGAATTGCGCCACAACTATTATTTCCAGGTACTCTTTATTTCCGTTAAATCCCGATTTTTCACTTCCGACGTGATCTGCAAAATAAACTGCTTTTTATCCGTGATGATTTCTCAGTTGTTCTTTTGCTTAGCCTTTTTGTATATATATGCAATATCTCGTGTATATGTATTAGATGTTTACTAAAAAGGGCGGTTTATATTTGAATATTTTTTTTTTTAGATATACTCTGCTAGTTACAAAATCTTGTTGGCACTCTCGTAATTTCATTTTTCTGTCTATGATGTGCTGTAGTTAGTTTTGTCTATCTGCGGAAAGATTTACGAGATTGGAGGTTATATGTATGTATGTGTATATATGTATATGTAGATATATATAACATGGAAGATATCTTACGAGTATTTGATGATATGATGGAACGCGGACAACTTAGTTTTCAAGAATCACAGAGAACGATGCAAGTCAACCACCGCCAAGCCCCCGCCCCCGCCCCCACCCCCACCCCCCGTCCCACCCGCGCCCTCACGCCGTACTCATACGCAAACACATCTTTCAACCAACACCAATTTCTCAACACCCTCGCTTTCGGGGCCCACACCGTACAGCACTTCCATCAACCCGTTATGTTTCTTGGTGGCAAAACCAACGAGGGTGGCATGAAGAACTTTGCACCGAAAAGTCAACTGAAAAGTCAACCGAAAATTCAACACTCGGCTGGTCGAAGTGGTCAAAGCGGGGTTCTGTCCGAAACTGGCACAGAGCAAGTATGGCAGCGCATAAGATGGACGGATGACATGGTCAAGGTTTTAATCAAAGTAGCTTCTTACATTGCAGAGATTGCTTCTCCCGATTGTACCGATGGCGAAACAAACCCTTTACTCACTCCGATAAAGGGCAAGTGGAGGTCGATTTCGAATATAATGGTGGAACGAGGCTACATCGTGTCTCCGCAGCAATGCGAGGACAAATTCAACGACCTCAACAAAAAGTACAAGAGGCTGAGCGACTTACTCGGGGGACACGCTTCTTGCACTGTCGTGGAGAATCCCCTGCTGATGGAATCTATGAACATTCCGGAAGATTCCAAGGAGGAGATCCGGAAGATTCTGACGTGTAAGCAGCTCTTCTACAGAGAGATGTACTCCTACCACAACAAGAGCACGAGGTTTCTCCCTCACGACCCCCCTCTGCAGCAGTTGGTTCGGTCGACTCTTAAGGGAAAAGTCAAGTACGAGTCTTCTCAGAGTCAAAGTTTGACTTTGGACATGCCTGCAAAGAGACAGAAACACGGTGAGGGTAATTGTGTAATTAATGTTGTGCCGGAGGGTATTGAGGGGAAGAAGAGTGAGTGGGTTGTGCCTTGGTCGGTGGGTTTGGCGGATAAGAAGTTGCGGATGCATAACGAGATGATGGAATTGGAGAAAATGAAGTTTGAGTGGGTTAAAGTGTGCCAAGAGGAGGATAAGGAACTGGAGAGGTTGAAGCTGGAGAACGAGTTGATTAAGATCGAGAACGAGCGTTTGGAGTTTCAGATTATGTGCCGCCGCCAGAGGGGCAATGCTCGTCGGTACTGAATAACCGTGTCCTTTTTAGTGTTGCTGACTTTTTTTTATCTGTTTTTTTAGTTGTGTTTTCGACTATTTAAAGCATGACGAGCAAAGTTCGTGCTGTGGAACTCTGTTTTCACCTGTTTTTTCGTTTCAAGTTTCTGAGTGCAGAACAATGTTTAAAATTCGTCCTTTCGATTTTTATTTTTTTCGTGTTTTTACTGATTTCTGTCTAATGGTTGAAGCACAATATTCTTCATTACTAGTGGAAATATTTAGGTGATAAAACAGAATGTTTTACATTATAATATAGGGTAAATTACGGCAGAGCCCTAGAGAGCCCTAGAGGTAAGGTCAAATTATGAAAAAAAATCATTTTGTTTAGGTAATTATATCACCCCTCAATTATGAATCTTGTTATATGTTCACCTTTGTGGTGTCAAATTTAGTGGAATATTTTAGATTATGTGAAATAGTCCCTAATTTGTAGTCGTCTTACTCCATTCGAGCTCCACATTTTGAAACAAGATGATCATAAGATTTTCGACTTTTCACCCCGTTCCACAATCTTATGAACATCTTGTTTCAAAAGTGGAGTCAAATGGGTTCAAACGGGTAAGCTCAAGAATATTCCACTATCTAGAAGATTCCACTAACCGCAATGGTGGACGTACGTATAAGAAGATTTATAGTTGCTGGGTGGTTGTAATTATCCGAACATAAGAGGGTGTTTTGTAATTTAACCATACCTCAAAAGGTGGCGACAATTTACCCTATAATATATATATATTCTTCGTCAAATCTTTATTTTAAGGAGAAGATAATAAACGAATATAGAACCTTGAATATTAATCTCAAGTAACAATTAATTCGTACAAAAAGGAAAATATTAAATAAATAAAAAACAAAATATTTAGAAAAGAAAATACCCTATTACTACGAATTAGCAGGCAAAAAAAAAGTAAATCATAAGCTCTCAAATCATATTTGTTCCGCTGCTTGTGTTTTCTTCTCCTTCTCCTCCTCCTCTGTGGTGGCAGCTGCCGGCTCCGCTTTCGCTGGAGCTTCTTCGGTTTGTGTTTTCTTCTCCTCCTCCTCAGCGGCAGCAGCTGCCGGCTCCGCTTTCGCTGGAGCTTCTTCCGCCTTCAACTTCTCACTTTCTACTTCCGCGGCGGCTTCTTTTGGCGCTTCAACCTGCCCATGCAAAATATACAAACAATTAATATAATAAAAATTAAATTTGCCATTTTTTTATTTTTTTGTAAACAATTAATAAAATAAAATATTTGGCCTAAAAAAGAAAATCAAGAAAGGAAACAAATCAGGTAGTAATAATATCTTGCAATTTTTTTTAAGGAAATTGTAAGTATCAATATTTAAAATAGAAAATATATTACCATTTAAAACCAAAAAAAAATCATTTTTGAATCATATATACTTTTGTATAAACATAATAATAGAAAACATATACTTTCCAACTTTTGTTTTCATAAGGAAATATTAACAAATTAAAATAAATATTTATCTACCTATGAACATGATTAATTAATCTAAAACGAATTTGTTATTTTGATTGAAACAAAAAATCAGAAAATTTAATGTGATGGATATTACGGGACGTCATATGTTACACCTGGTTATTTTTATCGAGTGTTTGTTAATCGTAGTTGAGGTTAAATAACTACCCATTGAACACGCATACATACGGGCGTGTGTGATTATGTGCAGATCTACGGTTAACAATCACCCGATGTAAATAATCAGATCGATGTAGCATTTAATTTACGAGGAAATTATATCAGGTAGCTAACCTCTACGGCCTTATTTTCGAGCTTGTCGTCCCCATCTTCCACCTTCTTCTCCGGCGCAACTTCCTCCTTATCGGCCTCCGCCGCCACAGTGGTTTCCACTGCCGCTGCGGTGGTGGCGGGGATTTCCTCCTGGGCCGGTTCCGGTGGTGGAACGGCGGCGGCTTCATCCCTCATGGACTTCGGTACGCTGGCGCAGGCACCCATTATATATATTTTCCGAAGCGATCGAAAAAAGAAAAAAAAACAACCCTTTCTCTCTGCTGTAGAAGTTTTCACTTCTTTTTTAAAAATTTGCAGAGAGAAATTAAAGATTGCCCAAGAAAAACAAACAAGATGCGGAGAGCTTATGATTGACAAATTTTGTGTGTCCTAGTACGAGGTTTATATATATGTTTTTTTTTTTAATTAAAAATAAAATATTTTTTTTTTTTGGAAAATTGTGTTTTTGATGGTTTTTAATATAGAGAGGTCCGAGATTGAATCTAGGTCGTAGAAATATGTAAGGGCCACCAATGAATGGTATTTATTATTCCTAAAACATTTACATGTCACAAAATTTATAAAAAAAAATCAGTTTTTGCGTGTGAACAATAATTTTTAATTAGTTAGGTAATTATAGTCCCTATGTATAAAAAAATATTACCAGTAAGGGCAAACTTATTATTATTACTAGTACTAGTATTTATGCCCGTGCGTTGCACGGGATCGCATTATAAAAAAAGAGAAAGTAATTATTTAAATACATGACAATAAAATTTATAATAATTTTTTTATCAGACAATATTAGAATATTTAGCTGTCAAATTTAAATTATAATAATCTTAAAGTAAACATAAATTTTGATTGTCAATATATAAAAATTATGTTAAACAATAAATAATATAAAATTTACAATTGAAACTTTTCATGCTAGTAATTATTCCCTGTGTGTTGCACATGGTTAGTGTACCAAAAAAAAAGTAGAAAATAATAATTTAAATGAATTGTTGTATAAAAAATACCGCATCGAATAAAGTAAAAAATATTAATCAGGTAAAATATTTTTTAAAATAACTCACAAAAACATGAAAATAATTGATATATGTCTAATTGTTGTTATAACCTTGATTTAATTAGTAACAATGTTAAATAATTAATGTTTATATGATATGTGAAAATATTGTGGGAGTTAAATAATGTAAGTAGTTATGAACTAAGGGAAAATGTTGCGGAAAATTTTAAACTTGAGGAATAACATTTGGTAAAAAGTAAAAACAATTTCAAGATGATATATATATATATATATATATATATATATATATAGTTGTGGTAAATTAAGAAAGCAAAACTAATTAATTTAGTTACAATGTTAATTGTTAAATAATTATTTGTTTATAATACATGAAAAAATACATTGCAATTTTTCATTGCAAAATTAAACCGTTCATCCAAACAATACATGTGTATATTATCAAAGTTCAAACATTTAAAAAAAAAATGGGCGGATTAAGTAAAATTTTATAAATATACTGTACAATCTTGTAAATACATGTCAATTTTATAAAATTGACAGTTATTATCAAAGTTACTCTTACTATTTCAAGAAATGCATGGAGCTAAATTGAAAAGTGCAAATTACATAAAAGACTTTGAATTTTTACCATCTTCTTTTGAACATTTTCCCCATTACTGACTCAAAATATTTAAAAAAAATACGGGGAGAAGGTGAAAAACGAATGATATAAATGAGATCTGAAAATTTTGCAAACCCTGAAAAAAATGTTGAATTTGCCGCTGGATTCTCCAAATTATTTTGTACATTCAGAAACCAAAATCATACATTATAAACCATCCTAATCTATCAGAAAATTGCCAAACAATGAACTTAGAAACACATAATCAACTGCAGACTGCAGTAGTCCTCATTTCAGCTTAACTTCATTGCTGTATACTTTTCTGATGTTTAAAAAAAGAAAAAAAGACGTTACACAACCAATATCACAATGTTACCAATCAGATGAAGGAATAAACTATCCGTAGATTGGTCCACTAATACCTGATACATATGAATGAATTAAAATTTAAACAGAACATCTACTCCTCTGCACTGCTAGTCAAGACTCTAAACTCATCTGGTTGTTCAACAATCAATCAACATTAGAACCATTAGGATCAGTTACACAAAATTAATTAATAACATTAATTTTAAGCTTCCACAGTAGTATGTTAATGGACTTCAATAATTGGAATATTGAATTATCAAAGATGCCATGTTTTTACTAAGGTAATTAATCAATGAAACATATCAAGAAATGATAAATTATTGGTATCTTTCCGAGTGACCTTCCAGGACCCAGGACGTGTTAACAACAGGGGAGTTGAAGAATTCTGCCAGGGACACCTTTTCGCTCAAGGCAAGAATGCAGTACCATCGAAGGAAGGCTAGCCAGTCCTGAACCCAAGATCTAAGGGACAGACACTCAGTGAGATCTTTCAACTCCTCTGACGCATACACATCGTCAGGAGGAAGTCGAAGCTCCTGAGGTTTCGTTTCCTCTCTTTCGGAATAAATGTACTGAAAATTTAAATTTCAAGCCCAGTGATTCACCTTACAATCCATCATCTGCTTGAGGGTATCAGAATCGTCGTATGCCTTCTTCAACGCTATCATTTTCCGCACCCAAAATAAACAAATTAGTTCAACCAAAATTAAATGCTTATGTTTACACACATATTAAGGAATCAATAAAGATAATACCTGTAGAAAAGATCATAATTTCCATTTTCAAGAATTTAGATTACTCTTTTTGAATTAAATTGATTAAACAAATTCAGCACTCAATCAACTCAATGGAGGGATAATATTTTGCTGCATCAATTTCTTAAGAGAGTTTTTGAATTTCGGATCAAATTGGGAAAATTTGCGGAATTTCATTTCGGAAAGAGGAGAGATTTTTTTTTTCCTGCATGGAGAATCTTAAAATATGTGTGAATATTATGTTCATAGAAACCGGTTGTTTAAGAAGAAAAGGAAATGAATAAGAAGTGGGGGAGAGAAAGAAGACTTGGGTTAATTTACCCAAAAACAAAAGTTGGGGTGGTTGTGCGAGAGAAGGGAAACAAAGAAGAAGTTTAAGAATTCTACGTGTAAAAATATTTATTCCATAAATATAATGGGTCTAGGATTATACACAAAAATAACAAAAGAAATATCTGATCGTGCACCTACATAGTGGACAATTATAATCTTAAGAGAAAAATAAAAAACCGTATGACGACAGTTATCCAAAAAAAAGAAGAAAAAATTGTAGTTGTGCTTACGAAGGTTGATGAAGATTTAGAAGGAAAAAACTTTGACTCATACGTGAGAATGTGGGAGAATTTAGTGTTTCAAACTCTTGCCATAACATTATCATCTTTCTGAATAGAACCTGGTAAAAAAAATAGAGATCACAATCGAAAAGGCGATATTAATTTTACAATAAAAATATTGCTATGAACTAAACAACGATGAATCTCAACTTAAAGCATAAGTAGAATCTCCAGTAGAGTTTACAACAATGTAATTACTACAACTGACCCAATTGAATCCGATGCAATGTCTAATAAGAATCAAAATCTAGCTAACAGAAACACAATCAGAAATTAAAATCGAAACCAGCGATTCTGTTTTTTCAAATTAGAAAATCAGATTATATGAAGAAAAAAATTGAGATAAGGGCAATTCGAGCATACTGCATAAGCCTCTGTTGCAGATGCACATTTTCATGATCATCACCAATCTTTGGAACTATAAGCATACATGTTTTTCAGTCGTATGGCCGCTCTGTTTCTTGATGAATTCATATGCGTTTTCCATGAGTCCTCCAATGCAACCCTCGTTATCCTTTTCACTATCAATCGTTCTAATTGTTGATCCCTTCAATATTCCTACCACAGTCGTTGAAAATGCCAACAACTACTTGTAAAATCCAGAGAATAGTTAGGCAAAAAATCAGAAATGATAAACCTAAACTAAAGATTCAAAAGTAAAGTAAAAAACTTACCGCAGTTTCCTTTGTTATTGACAACAATTACTGCCCTAATAAACCTTACAGAATAAGAATTCAAGTCAAAATTCTACATCTCTCCTACAACAAAACACACACACACACACACACACACATTGCACAAACCTTTAGTAGAAACCGTTTTCTACAAGTATCAATTTACACTTCGGTTTAAAAAAACGGCAACATATCGTGGGATGGGATGTGGAAATGGTTTCTACAGTTGTACGAAATAATAGTGATAATTGCATGAGTATAGGATTTAGTTGGTGGTGGAATTATACCACTATCCAAAAAAATAGGAAAATATTAATTCCACAAATTATGAAACTATAGAACGGAAAGAAAATAGACAAATTTTGAATTTTAATTTAGAAATTTATTTATTGACGATATTGCCCCTTGATTTAGGTCTAGGGTTATAGGTCAAAATATCTTCTTTTTATATATAAGATTTGTCCCCGTCCATTGCACGAACGGAATAGCATTATAACTAAAAAATTAGTAGAGGAAAGAACAATTGTAAAAAAAAATTAATTATAAAAGTGTTATTATAATAGCTTAGGGTTGCATATAACTTCTTCTTTTATATATAATTTTTTTTTATATATATATATTTCCCGATTAACAATGATCTCTTGATTCAAATATAATTTCTGGTGCGAAGGTCGTCTGAATGTTCTTGTAAACATATATCGTGACTGCCTCACCATTGGAAACATTTTTTTCTTCATATTTTGCTTTGTCAAAATATCGTAAAAGGTCAAATCCGTTTTAGGTATGGAGGCGATCTATCGACAGAGCCGGTTCTGAATATAGGCGAGAGATGCGGTCACCTAAGATACCCAATTTTTAGAAAATTCTAGGGGCTCCAAATAATTATTTATACTCTTTTGTAGTAAAATCGAATCAAAGTTTCAGATCAAAACAAGTCAAGAAATCAAACTAGAGAATAACTAAAACACCTTGCAAATTCTCTAAGATTCCAAATAACTAAATAAGAACAAATTTATAGTGGTTCGCCTGAACTAAAATGGACTACATCTACTCTTCACTAGGGAGATATTATTGATCATATCATTTGACATAGTTTATATATTTGTTGATTTTTTTTACTTGTGCTTGTATTTCATGTAACGAAATTTCTTAGATGAATTATTATTAGTTAGATACTTAGTTTTATTTTCTTCAAATATTTACTTGTTTAATACTTTTTCTATGAATAATATTATATTTTGTTTTCCTCAAAAAAAAAATATTATATTTTGTTAGTATTTCTACATTTATATACTCGGAGCCTACCACCTCAATGAATGCCGGGCTCATAGCCCATTAGCTATCCACTAAAAATTTCAAGGGCAAATGTCAACATTTGTCAAATTAAGATATTTTGCTTTGACAAATATTAATTAATTAAACTATTATTAAAAAAAAAAAATATCCAGGGCCCCCATCCCTTGTCATGGTAACTCAACGGCCCGTTAAGGTAGCGCACCCGGACCTGGTGTCCACAAGGAATCAACCCTCATTGGAGTTGAAATTCACACATTGCGGCTGCCAGGATTCGATCCTAGGACCGTGCACCAACTTACCACATCCGAAACCAGTTAAGCTACACTCATGCGGGCAAAAAAATATCCTTTACTTGCACGCACATATGGTGGAACTCGAAACGGAATTTTCGAATTCCATTGATTCCGATCTTAATTATTTTGACTTTTCGACTGTTCACCCCGTTTCAGCTTTTAATACACCAAACTTTGGCCAATCCAAATTTTCCGATATTTTAAGTATTTTTTTCGATTTTTTCTGTATCGCATTCGAAACTCCAAACAAAATTATTGAAAATTTTAATTTTCGATCATATTTAATTTTCGACGGAAGATTTCATTTTTTGTGAGAATTTAATAGCTTGGTGAAAATAAGAGTTTGAAAATCAATCAACTTTAATATAATAAAATAAAAATTACTACACAAAATGGGTATTTTTGTCCTAGTGTAAAAAGCATGTCTATTGGCAATTATCATATGGCACGTGCGCACGACCACGCCTCACCACTTTTGCCTTTATTTCCTTTTTTTACGTTCGACGAGACAAAATTAATCTTAGTCATCTTAAAATGACTCAAATGCCCTCGTGAAAGGTTCTAAATGAAAAAAATAATATAAGCATAAATGTTCATTATTTCAACTTTTAAATCATTTATGGAAGTAATTTTGAAATTGTAGCATAAAATAACCTATATTAATTTGGTGTTTGCAAAAGTCTTTAAAAGTATGAGCTTTTCTTTGCTCGTAATCTATTTTTCGTGTTTGCAAAATAGCTTTCTTTTCTACTTTAATCTAAAATATGAAAAATGTATACTGAACAACTTTTTTCAGCTTCAAATTTGCATTAAATATTTGAATCGTTGTTATTTTTATTTGAGATATTTCTAAAAACAAATTAAAAATTGAAATGTATGTTTCAAACATATCAATTTCCAAATTAGTTACTTACAAGAACAATTACAGACGCTCTCAATTTTCAGAATAGGGAATAAAACATATAAATACAGATTAGTATAAGCCAAAAAATTATTATAAGTTATTTCTAAAACTTTTACAAACACCGCCAAAGAATACTACAACGATAACACGGTTTCTATCTTTGAAATATGTCATATTGCAACTGTAAGTCCAATTTCAAGAAAGAAAAAACGTACAATAGAACATCGATAAATTAATAATCTCGTTTAAATGATAGAATATTCGGTCCCGACTCAAAGACAATGTGCTAAAAAATATTTCATTAAATTAATAGAATTTGGTTAGTTCCAACCGTATTAATTTATAGAGATTTAATTGTACTGTGTATTTTAATAAATAAATCGACTATAATAAAACGCGACATCACAATTGATCTTTATGAAGATTTATTGTGATATTTTCATGATATAAAAATGGAAAAAAAAATGACATTTGAGAGAAGAAAACAAAGAGAATCCAACTAATAAAATTGAAATAGACAGCATCGGATGGGCTTTAATGGGTCCAGATGACAAATTGGTATTGAATTGGTAATTAAATTAGTTAATGAGAGATGACAAATTGGTAATTAAATTAGATTAATGACGCTTATAATTATAATTTTTTTGAAAATTGCTGTCACTTGATCATCAGCAGATTAGTCAACGGTTTTTTTCTTAGGTAGTTTGACTTAGGTGAAGTTCTTAAACTCACACAGCTCCTTTGAGAAAATTACAAATTATCATAATTAAATAGTCGTTTTCTGATTTAATTATATTTGTAATTAAAATTTATTGCAGTGATTATTGTTGTGGAAGAGGTATTAGGCATTAATTAGCACATAGGAAAATGAGTGGATAAGACAAATATATACAGTTGAATTTATGTTTAGAATATACCTTAGTCAACTCAAATTTATATAAGCCATGTTATTAGCAAATTGTTATTATTAATTTCCAAATTATATCACATAAAACAAAATTATAAATATGAATAAGATTTGTCGGGTGAGTCGGACCCATTAACCCGTTAAAGTCGGACCCATTAACACGTTAAATCGGATAAAAACCATTCATCTGGGATCGGATGGATAGATCTATCGATATGATTGTGTCCTGAAATTGAGAAGATCATCGGGTTTGGATCTAAGATGGTTTGATTTTTTTTAATACCCGTGAAACTTGTCATTCTCTGCCATACATAACGACGTCGTTTTGTTTATATTATGTAGTATAATAAATTAATAACATATAGTACATGCATGAATAGAGTATCTCTTACATGTCAAAACTTATATCTATAACGACAACATCGTCTTGTTTTATTTATAGTTATCTATTTTATTTTAAATCTTATCTTATAAAATTTTGAATTTAATTACTCTTTTTAATCGGTTAAAATGTGTTAATTTTGTTTTTATTCTTGACATTTTGTCATCGATGTTGTTTACGTTTGTTTCAATTTAAGATTTTACTCTTAGTCATTCGTTTTAATTTCTAAATAGTTTAGTGTAAAATTTATAAATTATTAAAAAAAAAATAGCACGTTTAAACTATAATGAGTTTTGACCCGTGAATGTTATATCATACTATAAATTTGTCAGTGACCAGTCTATCTTAAACCCATCAAAAATGATAAAACACCGTTTTTATTCTCAATTTTGTTTCCCCCTAGAGTAACAATTCTCCTAAAATAAAATCAAAACACACCCCAAATTTCAACCAAACATATTATCTTCTTGTATTACCTTATATATCAACAATTGAAAGAAAAAAAAAAAAAAAAAATCAAAACTTTTCCACTTGATTCTTGAACTAATCAAGATTCAAGAAAAGAGTGATGAACTTACCAAATGAGTGATAAACCTTCCCATAATTTAAGCTTTAGCTCAACTAATCTCCTATAGCCCAAGTCAAAATGACCTCATTTTGCACCCACAAATTAATAAATAAATTAAAAATTGGATAAAAAAAGGAAAATCAAAATTGAAAAAGTCAAGAAATACCCATGTTGGTGTTGGGCAGTTGCTTTCTTCATAGCTTGCCTGGTTTTTGGTCACATAGTGGACAATATATAAATAAACCTCATTTCTTTTTTTCTTTCTAGGCACAAAGTAATAATCAACACAAACAACAACACAACAATCATAAACTATTCAATTTAGACTTTCTTCCCCTTTTTTTGCTATTTAGTTTTTTCTCCACTAATTTCAATTCAATTTTTTATCTTTTGTTAATTCTGTTTCCACCCCCCCACCACCTCCTCAACCTTCTCTCTCCTCTCTCTCTCTCTCTCTCTCTGGTTCTTGAACCAGATTGAAACCCATTTTTGAGTCCGGAAGAAACCCTCTCTCTCTCTCTCTCTCTCTCTCTCTCTCTCTCTCTCTCTCTATCTATGTATGTGAGAGAAAGTAAAACACAGTAGTTGCTTCTTAGGTCTGACCCACTTTTTTTTCTGTTTCTTGATCTGCTGCTTCTCTGTCTGAAAATTAAAAAAGGGTTTGTCTGAATTTTATCTTTGTGTGTGGTTAATGGTATATACATACACATATACTTACACACCGTGGACTTGGGTTTTTTCTTTTGAAGATTTCGTTTCTTTTTTTTTTTTGCATCTAAGGAAGGTACAGATCTCTGATCCCATTTCATTTCGCATTTCATACATCATTCGTTTAATTATTTAATCCCTTTTTCAAGAAACCCTATACTTCAATTCTTTTTGCATAGGAAAAGTTCAAATCTTGTCGGTCCAGTTTCAGACTGTCTTATTTTTCTGGGTTTTTTTTTTTTTTTTTTTTCAATTTCAAGACTTGATTTTTGAAAGAGATTAAATTTGTTGTGATTCTTGCAGATCTCTGAAGAACTTGTAAGAGCTTCTGTTCTTTACTACAGACTTTTTTCTTGCAGGTTTGCTACTAACTCCTCTGTTTCCGTTTAGATTTGTTTCTTGTAAGAATGGGCTGTGATTTATTTTGTGTTGATTTCTAATTTAGGGTTTACTTTGCATACACACAAGGAAAACATGCCCAAGTTATCATTTTCAGCTATATGTATGTGTGTGTGTAATTTGCTGGTGTTTCTGTGTGTAAAATCTTGATTTTCAGGGTGCTTATTGCAATAAAGATTAATCCTTTAGTGGGGCTGATTACTTACCAAGATTAATCTCTGCATTATGTCTATCAATGTGTTCTTACTGTATAAATTAAAGCTAATGCATTTTCGTAGCTAATTCGATTACCCCTTTTCTCGTTTATTTCCAAAGCCCGTCTCTTTTTCCCTCGTTTACAGTTAAATCAACACCACAAGCATCCCGATAAATTATTCAAGAAAATCCCTACTCGAGACTTTCGAAGGGTTTTTTTTTCAAATGTCGTTCCGAAGTATAGCAAGAGATATACGAGACAGTTTCGGTAGCTTATCACGTAGGAGTAGTTTCGACGTGAGGGTGCAAGGCCACAATCACCACAGGGGAAAATCGCACGGCTCTTTCCACGAATTAAACGATCATCAGCCAATCATAATCCAGAATAGCCAATGGGCTAATCTCCCACCCGAGCTGCTCTTCGATGTAATAAAAAGATTGGAAGAGAGCGAAAACACTTGGCCGGCTCGTAAACACGTTGTTGCATGTGCCGCCGTTTGCCGGTCGTGGAGGAGCATGTGTAAAGAGATTGTCAAGAATCCCGAAATTTGCGGGAAAATCACCTTTCCGGTTTCTTTGAAGCAGGTGATTATTATTGCGTTGGACTATTTTGCCCTTTCGTACGATAGCTTTTGATGTTGATTTTTAACTTATTTCGGGTTTTTTTTTGTTTTAATATACAGCCAGGGTCTCGTGATGGAACGATTCAATGCTTCATTAAAAGGGATAAGTCTAATTTGACGTACCATCTATTTTTGTGCCTTAGTCCTGGTGAGTTTCTTGTTTTTCTATTTTCGTATTTCAACGAGTGCGGTCGATCACATTGTAGTTGCTCGATTTTTTTTTTATTATTTTTTTTTTGCAGCATTGCTAGTTGAGAATGGGAAATTCCTACTCTCAGCAAAAAGGACTCGGAGAACTACTTGTACGGAGTACGTTATCTCGATGGATGCAGACAACATTTCCCGATCCAGTAGCACTTACATCGGAAAACTAAGGTAAAACTAATTACTCTTATGTCGCATATTTTCATTCATTTTAGTCCTCATTTAGGCGGGTAAAATTTTCCACCATTAACTAAATATCATTAGTTCAATAACTTTTCAAGCCGTCCCGCAATTATAGAAAAAAAAAAGCTCTAATCTTTGGCTAATTGGGAGATTATTAATAAATTTGAAATTTAAAAAAAAATTGCAGATCAAATTTTCTTGGTACAAAGTTTATAATATACGACACGCAGCCACCACACGCTTGCTCCGCGCAAATTGCACCGCCGCCTGGCAAAACGAGCCGAAGATTCTATTCCAAGAAAGTGTCCCCCAAAGTACCCAACGGCAGCTACAACATAGCCCAAATCGCATACGAATTAAACGTGCTCGGCACGCGGGGCCCGCGCAGAATGCACTGCCTAATGCACTCAATCCCCGCATCCTCACTGGACCCCGGTGGGGTGGTCCCTGGACAACCGGAGCTCCTCCCGAGGAATCTTGAAGATTCATTCCGTAGCATCTCCTTCTCGAAATCACTCGAATTCAGCAGCGCCCGATTCGCCGACGACATCGCCCAATCGTCCAGTGAGGACAGTAATAAATCGAGGCCGTTGGTTTTGAAGAACAAGGCGCCGCGCTGGCACGAGCAGCTGCAGTGCTGGTGCTTGAATTTTCGAGGGAGGGTTACCGTTGCTTCGGTTAAGAATTTTCAACTGATTGCCGCATCCGCCGCCGCCACGCAGGCGGCAGCAGCGACCGGTGGTGGTGGTGGTGGGCCGCCGCCGCCTCCGGCAGCGGGTGGGTCACAACCGACAACTGGATCAGATCACGATAAAATTATTCTGCAATTCGGCAAGGTTGGTAAGGATATGTTTACGATGGATTATCGGTACCCTTTGTCGGCTTTCCAGGCGTTTGCTATTTGCTTGAGCAGCTTCGACACTAAATTGGCTTGTGAATAAGAGAGAAACAAAAAAAAGAAAAGAAAAAAAAGATATTATTATATGCTTGTTGACTGAAGAAGTTCATAAAAGAAACAGGTATTTAATTTGATGGATGTAGTTCAAAATTATTGTATATTTTTCCATCCTTGGAAAAAAAAAACAATTGGTGTAATTTTGAATTTTTTTTTGTTCTCTCTAAATTTAAATTGTTCTTGTTTCATCTTTAATTGCTACAGGCTTTGAAATTTAACTTAATAAATTAAATATAAATTGTCACTAATAGATTTAATTATTAAATTGTTGAACTTGATCATATAGTTTTGCATTATCATAAATAATTTGGGAGTATTAAATTAATGAGTTTCTATACTACCAAATTAAGGTTAACATTAATTGAAAAAGAGCAGACACAAGAAACAATAATGTTGTGGTACATCAATATTTTGTTGGCCACATGTATTAATTATTATTGACAGAAATATTATGATTTATTTAATGCATAGACAAAAATAATATCTAATATGGTTGTGTGATTAAATCCCTAGCACCTACCTGCTGACCTTTTCTGCATTTTTTGAATCTAAAAATTAAATGAATTGGATTTCTTGTCACAAAACTTACAGCATACTTTCATTAAAATAAAACTAATAACTTAAAAAAAATATAATAATAATTAAAGTAATAATTACATACACCACCAGCACAAGAAACTACAAGCATGAAATGTACAGTACAAAGTCTAGCTGTGTATTTGCATAGGAGGCATCCATACAAATTGTCAAAGTCTTGTGTTTTTTTTTTGGGTTATATAGAGTTATTACATGTCCGAATAGCTACATTACAACTTATTATTTTTATATATAAATAAAGAAATATATAAAACAACATCTTGTAGTTAGTTACACTATCATGCAGATACGGAACGAGCCCATGCCAGAACGTCTTCTCGCGACATTACTACGATCTCATGCATAGATAGAATAGAGATAAACCTACCATTCCATGGACTGCACTCTCCTTATTACTCTCGGAGGTTTTGGTCTTCGTTTCTCCACCACTGGAATTAGGTTCTCCATAAGCTGCATGAGAATAAAATTATTAAAAAAAAAAAAAAAAAGAAAAAAAAGAGATAAATTAAAACCGTTTTATTCGCTTGTAGTGTACTTAAGTAATTGCATGGATGTCGTGTCTAACTAATAGGATTCACATTCTCATGTCTAGATCGGAGTATAGATGTAGGTTTCGTCTCAATTATTGTGACGATATACATAGACTCGATCAAATTGGTAGAAAAAAACCGGAAAAAAAACATGGAAAGATAGCTATGGATAGATTCTCGACATTTGCATACAGCACAGGTCCAAGTTTTAATTTTATCCCTCAAAGAAAAAAAACCCATCATTTATGCCTTCAAACCAAAGACAGCCATTTGCATCGAACAGATATCTCGAAATTGTGCAGAGTAACAATTGAGCTAATAGAATTGAAAAGTCGAAACAGAACAACCAGTTGACTATTGCAGCCTAATAGATATCATATATGCACAGAAAAAGGATTAATATTTGCACGTTAGCAACTTCAACGAAATCATACCTGCTTGTATCTTTCCTTGTTCAATTCAGCCTGCAGACGAAGAGTTCAAGTTAGAACCTTCAAGAAATATGACAAACAATACAAGATAGTTACAAGAAAGTATGCTTTTAGAAATGACGAAGAGAATTTAGATAGCTGAGAGGTTATTTGTGCAAAGGGAAAGAAATACATATTCACACATCTTCGTTTTAAATTTGTCGAGCATTTCGAAATGTCTATTGATTCAATGTAAATCCACACGAGTTCTTAATAAGAGAAATATACATATAAAAAATCTTTTGTTCTTAATAAAATGCAGTAGCTAGTCTTGGCAGCATCGGTATCGGAAATCTTCAGTTGGTAATCTTACAGTAATTGGGAATCGACACAATCTTGAAAATTCACAATTACGACTCCTCTATCTCAATTCTCAACCATCAATCAGAAATATTTTCTTCAAGAACACATACTTTAGCCGTTGTAAATTATCATAAAAATCAGATAACAATTTCATTCAAGAGACTATTCAACCATTTTCGAAATTCAAAAAATATATAAATAAATAACAACAAGGGCACCTCATCTTCCAAAAGCTTAGCATTTTCCTCCTCCAGTTGAGTGACCAGTGTCTCCAACTCCACTGTATAAGCCTTTTTAGGAAATAACAGTAAAAATTTAGATTTGAATTTATGAATAAAATATGTAGAAAAAATTGGGATTAAATTGAATTGAATTGATTGATGAAGAAAGATTACCTGCTTACGCTCCCTAGACCTAGCAGCTGACTCTCTATTTTTTATCATTCTCTTCTGCTTTTGCTGCGTGGCCTTGTCGATCGGAAACTCCTCTCCGGCGGCCGCCTTTCTCTTCCCCCTTCCGCCGCCGCCGGTAACCGCCGCCGTTCCATCAGCGAAATCCACTCCATATCCCCCACCGGGGACGCCCATCGCCGGTGAATAATGAACCGCCGGAACCCCAGCAGCGTGAACCATATTCGCCGCATCCATTCCGAAACCACCCGCCGCCGCCGGCGTCGCAGCCGCGGCCGAAACCCTAACTTCATCCTCATCCACCGCGCCAGCCTTGGCCAGGAAATCCTCCAGAGTCATCGACGATTCCCCATTCGCGGCGGCGCTGCTGTCCTCGAGGACGATTGACTCGGAATCGGAGTAGATGTTCCTGAGGATATCGTCGATGTTCATGGAGCCCAAACCCCGGCTCTGATCGGAGTGGAGATTTAATCGGGAGGGCGAAGGCTGACGTGGATGATCCCTATTGGGCGGTGACGTTGAAGCCATCACCTTCGAAGACGCCATCGCTCGCTCTGAGAATTTGTCAATTCCGCCGATTTTATCAGAATTCCGATCAGAATTTTTTTTCTCCGACTGCAAAAAATTGCACTTTCCTTCTCCAAAAGTCTGACAAGTGAAATGACTGAGGAGAGAGAAAATACACACATATATATATATATATATATATATACATAAATAAATATTAAATATAATATAATATATTATATATTTATACCGTGAGCGGACAAAGCGAAGAGGGAAAAAGGTACAAGAAAGATGCGACAAACGGGTGGAATCTGGCGGGTAGCGAGAGTACAGAAAGGAGATGGTACTCGCTCAATTCTTTTTATTTTTTATTTTATTTTATCTTTTTTTATCATAAATGCATCTCCGGATTTTCATGTGACCGGTAAGTAGAAAAAAGTTTCATTGACAAAGGAAAAAAAGAAAATTGATTCCAAATTTCCAATCCGATTTATGATGCGATAAATTAATTTTAAAAAATCCATATAGTTGTTGGAATTATTGGAAGAAATACATTTTTTTTTAATTTTTTCAAATAGCAAAAATTAATTTAAGAAAAAAATATTAAAAATTCATTATAGTTTTGAAAAATACTGGACTTCAAATTTGTGAAGAAAATGTCATTTATGATTTATGCACTTCGAAATATATGTATTGTTTTACATAAATAGATTATGTAATTTATAAGTATTTTTCTAGTAGATTGATAAATTTTTAAAATATTTTAAGAAATTAAGACCACTCAAATTATTTTAATTGTAATATTTTGATCCGAGGAAAAGGGAAAATGAAAAAAAGTGAAAATGAAAATTAATATTTAAAAAAAAATCCATAAAATTAAAAGTTTCGTTCCAACTTTCATTAGGTAAACAAACACTTTTAGATTTTTAATCAAATAAGGATTTAAAAAGGCAGCTTATACTATGCTACATCGAATTGAGATATATTAAATATATTTTTGCTATTATTATTCATATATACATACACAAACACACATATATTGAAAAGAAGTTTAATCAAAGCATTGATTCCACTTTTTCTCATATTTGAGTCAAAAGGACTTTGAAAAAAATCCGATCCTAGTTGTGATAAGAAGAGTTGACTATTGCCAATTAAAGTTGGATAAATAAACTATTTTTATATAATAATAATAATAATTATTATTATTATTATTATATATTATTGGTCCAAAATATAAATCCAAAATAAACTAATGTATACGTTATTAGAGGCCTTCAAAAGGTCCAACTAGGGTATTATCTGTTGTTGGTCCAACATTTGTAAAACTAACCCAATTAATTAATTAATTTATACCGATTTAATCTAAATAATTCAGACCATATTATTTAATTCATTCAAATATCAAATGTTATATGGAATTGACCCGGTCTAGCATTCTCGAATTAGTGCCGACGTGAAAAGCGGACCGGTTCACCCTGCAAAACGACAAGCACAATACCCCAAGGCCCTAAGTTTTGCTACTTCCCATACTCTTTTCTACTAATTCAGAAGATTCTTGCTTCCTTTCCACGATGGTATTGTTTTATCCTCAGATGCGACAGAAGTTGGTGATCTGGAATGAGCCAAAAGGGACTGGAAATATATCTGATGAAGGAAAAGTGGTAGTAGAGAATTCCATTTTGAATTGCCTTTCTTTTGTTTTTTGGTAAATTACAACTCCCTCCTTAAATAAAGTGTAATTACAAAAGAAACCTATTATTTTTTAGAATTAAATAAACAAGCCCGGTCTCGATTTGGGTCCTATAACCTCACTTGAGATTGTAAAGCCCACAAGTGATAACAAAGGGGAAAAAGAAAGCCCATAAGTAATAAATATTAGTGAAATTACAAAGGGAAAAAAAGCCCATAGGGGTTTATTAGTAAAAAGCCCCAATTTGCGCATTAGTGAAATTCCTTCTGTTTCATATTTTAATTTAGCATAAATCTAAATTTTAAGTGGTATCCGTAAGTCTATATTACTCTCTCTTCCGAACAAATCCGAAAAATCCATTATCTTCTCTCTCTTCCGCGCTACATGAAATATATGTTTCTCTCTTGCTTCTCGTAATCTTTGTCCCTCCTTCGTATCTCGCCGGAGTTGAAGGAAATGCAAATCCGATACCTAGCTCTTTATGTACAGTTGGAACAATTTCCTCGTCTTCCTTCTGCTGTATGTCAATATGTATTTGAAAGACACAATTCTGTTATTCTCTAATTATATTCTTCATATATAAGGAAACGTAGACGTTGAAGTGGATAAGTTGAAGAGTTAGATCCCCTTTCAGTTCTCCACTTCTCCAAACCGATATAGCACGGTTATGCACGAACGCTGGAAATCACAATTTTTTCCACCGAGGTTCTTACATCTATGGTGATTGTTTCTATTGATTATGGTAGCAACAACGAATCTTGTTCATTATAAAAATAGACATTAAATTTCAACGGGCCTAGGTGCTCGATTGACTGTTCACATAACCTATTCACATTGGACCCGCCCAAAAGATTTGAATCTAAGAAAAAGGTGAACATATATTTATACAATAAAAAACGATTAACTTTTATCCAACTAATAAAATAACATGTTCTTATTACTAATAAAATTATATTTGTGGGATTTTTAGCATATCCAATTAAATTATAGTAATTAACCCATAGTGAGTAGTAATCTATCCATATTCTAGGTTTTCTTTTTTCTCCTAAAAAAGTGAGTACAACACTATGACAAATGTGTTCAATGAATTATTAATTGTTTTTAAGTTTGTTAATCCATAATTTGGTAATACATAATATTTTTCTTTCATTTACCAAAAACATAAAGAAATTATTGATTAAGGTGAAATAAATAAATAAATAATAATAATAATAATATTATTATTATTATTATTATTATTATTATTATTATTATTATTATTATTTTGTTAAGCCTCTCTCTATGGCATTGTGCCCCAAGAGAAACAAACCTGAGTGTAGTACTGTGTGTTTTGTTGGGGTGACCATTTTCGCCGGACGCCCTCAACCCTAATTCATCTCCATCGCCAAACACTTCCCCCAAATCCCCCCTCAAGATTCACACGAACACAACACAAATCTCAATCAAACCCCCATTCGATAATCTTCCACATTTTTCTCAATCATCGAAAAACCCCCAACCCATTTCCCCAATCCGCCGCGATTTCATTCCGGCGAAAATGGCATGAAGACGGCGGCGCCGCTCACCAATTCATTCCAGCTCGATTCATCATCATCCGCCGCTAATCAGTCTTCGATAACTGATTGACAATAATGCAATTTTGGGCTCCGAGGGTTCCCATTTCCAAGGTTTTCCTCGCATCTCTCTTCCATGGTCGCTCCTCCCTCGTAGAATCATCATCGCCGCCGTCGCCTTCTTCTCCTTCGTCCACTTTCTGGTTCGTCAAAGTCGTCTGCACTCTCTGCATTCGCCGCTCCCCTTCTCTCGCTTTCGTCGAAACCGATTATTTCCGGGTGAATTTGAATCCCTCTGTAGCTTTCGCCGTAGTTTATCACATAAACAGTAGATTGAATAACCCCGATTTAGCTTTCACCTTCTTCCGTTGCTCGAGGCTCCGTTTGAATCTAATTCACCTCGAGCCCACTTTCGATTTGCTATTGAGATCCCTCTGCCAAATGGGGCGCCACGATTCGGCTGAATTAGTCTACCAATACATGAAATCCGATGGTTTTTTGCCCGATAGCTCGGTTTTGGATTTCGTTGTTTCGTCATTCGCCAATGCGGGAAAATTTAGGATTGCCGAAGAAATTTTGATCGCACGAGCTGAGTACTGTAATGAAAAAGACGAACTAGTTAGTTCTTTTGTATATAACAACTTTTTGAGCATGCTTACGAATAAAAACCGCATTGACGACGCTGTTTTATTTTTCAAATCTCACATACTGAGGCTAAAAAGCTTTTGCCCCGATACGTGTAGCTTTAACATAGTGATGCGCGGTTTGTGCCGCGCGAGTAAAGTCGATAAGGCTTTCGAGTTTTTTGATGTTATGAGGAGTTTTAGCTGTAGTCCCGATCTTGTCACCTACAACACTCTTATTAACGGGTTGTGTAGAGTCGGCAAAGTGGATAGAGCAGAGGAGTTATTAAGAGAAATTAAAGTACAATCGGAGTTTTCAGCAGATGTTGTGACTTACACATCAGTTATTTCCGGATATTGCAAATTAGGTAAAACGGATGCTGCAGCATTTCTTTTCGAAGAAATGATTAATAATGGGATTAGACCGAATTTGTTTACTTTTAACGCTATTATTGATGGCTTTGGTAAAAAGGGTGAGGTGGCTTCTGCATCAAAGATGTACGAACGAATGACGGCTACTGGTTTTCGGCCTGATGTTGTCACATTCACCTCTCTAATCGACGGTCATTGCAGATGTGGAGATTTAGGACAAGGGATTCATCTCTTGAACGAAATGAACGAGAAAAGGGTTTCTCCTAACGTGTTTACTTTCTCCGTTTTGATCAGTGCTTTGTGCAAAGAGAACAGATTGAATGAGGCCCGTGATTTGTTGAATCAGTTGAAGTGGAGGGAAGATATTGTACCCCCGCCGTTTGTTTACAACCCTGTAATTGACGGGTACTGTAAAGCTGGCAACGTAGACGAGGCGAATGCGATAGTAGCGGAAATGGAGGCGAAAGGATGCGTGCACGATAAGATGACTTTCACCATTCTCATTTTGGGGCACTGTATGAAAGGGAGAATGTTTGAAGCTATAGGAATGTATAACAAGATGTTGTCTGTGGGTTGTGTGCCTGATAATATTACGATGAGTTCTTTGATATCTTGCCTTAGAAAGGCCGGGATGGCGCGTGAGGCGAATGAAATAGAGCAGAAGGCATTGTTTAGTGTTTCGTCGTCGTCGAAGAGAAGCAATCCCGTTAGGAATAATATGAATGTGACGGTGGCTGTTTAGTTGGAAAAGAATTTGTCTCTTGCTATGTGCTTGATTTGAACTTAGTGGTTGTGTATAAGGCCCTTCCATCAGAAAAAAATCTATTGAGCAAATCATTGGATTGATGAGCCAGCCAAATTTGAGGTAATTAGTTTTTCGACCTTTCTTTTTATTGCATCCTTCTTTGTTGATGTTTTCTAATATTTATTATGTCTAGCTTAAGCGTGCGAAGATATTTTGTCTCTATTGTGCGGCTCATATATGTGAAAGGAGTAGGATCACGAGAATTGGATAAGAAGTTGTGATACAGTAATAGAATCATACAGGACGAAAACCAGAATCTTCAATAATGAACATTTGGTGCATTTACAGTTTATTTTTTCGTTTTCTGGTAATTTAATCCCTTCATTTTTTTCTTGATGAAACCCCAGTGTGTGTGTGTGTGTGTGTGTGTGTGTGTGTGTGTGTGTGTGTGTGAATCGAAAAGTTTTGTTTCTATTTCCTAACATGAGCTGTAAAAGCATTTGTCTCTGTAGTATGTGATGTGGTTTGTAATTTATCTCACATAAACGTAGCACTTTCACAACTGTTACCACATTATGTATCGATTCAAACATGTGCTAGTTGAACATAGATAGGAGTATATTTTATGTCTCATTATAAGGCACCCTTGTATACACACACACACACGCACGCACGCACGCACACACACGCACACACACACACACACACACACACACACACATATCTTATATTTTCTTTTTTCTCTTTCTGCAATAAAATTTATTTCTGCCACAAAATTAGCTCTCAGAAAAGTGAAAGGTGTCTCTTATTCAACCTCTCTCCACTGATGACAGATGCCGTCTCCTGAGTGGATACTGTGTTACCACTGAAGGTGCCCTCATTTTCAATGCAATGGAGGAGAAATGCTAAATTGAAAAACAGAAAAAGAAAAACAAAAATAGAATTATTTGCTGAAGAGGCTCTAACTAATGCAGATGTTTTACAATTATCCCACGAAAATTGTCCGACTTTATTTTGCTGGCAAAATCAACACAAGTGTAAGTGCTTCTTTTCATTCTAACAGGGTTAGTGCATTGATTTTCTTCACATTGCCATACACTAAACTGTTTGTATTTATCAAAATGTCTTTATTAAGACAGCTTCTATATCGGGTTTGATTATGAGGGTTTTTTTGTATGTATTTAATACACACGGTTTCTAAGTTGCGAGGAGTTTTAAAAAAAGAGAACGATTGTTGCTCTAGAGACTAGAAATAATGTTAAGAAACTTCATTCAGAATCTATTAGTAAGCTTTGTTGCCATTGATGCTAATCATTTTGACGAGTATGGTTACAAATTACAATCTCTGCTTCACTTTTTTCGTTATTATTCACATTCCTTCAAAACTAAGTATAAAGTCTGTTAATTTCGTGCAGAATGAGTTGATTTATTGGTTTTCTTATCCACCAATTTACGATAGTTATATTTTGGTTAGGTTCTGTAGTTTTATTATTCTCATTTTGTTGCAGTTGGCATAAAATTAATTTTGGGGAATTAAATGATCTACTCGCCTGGATTGCGGTGCCTCAATTCAGTGGCTTCTTTTCTCCACTAAATGTGATAAAGAGTTATTATGCTGTGAGGTTTTCTTCAACTCTCTACTCATACTTTAAAAGAACAATTATTGGACCATCTTTCTGATTTTTTTCTCTATCTGCAGATGTTATATCTGCTCTCTCGTCACTGGTGATTGTGGCGGCTCTAATGGGTTTGACCTGTTGGGTTTCGGTTCTGGGCGGGTCGGCCCATTTTTCTTATTCGGGTGGGTCCCGTTGTGCATTGTTCGTTCTTCATTTCAACCGGTGGGTTATTAAAAGTTATCCGATTATGTCACTTCTGGCTATTACTTAGCATCAAGTTTTCATGCATTATATATATTTAACTCAAGGATGCTTTATTTTTCCCACACTAATTAATCTTTTCATCCTGTTCGTTCGTTGCAGGCTAGGCGCACGTGTAAATTCTTGTATGAAAAGTATAGTCGTATCTAATCCAATTTTGCTGGAAATTTTACTTGGAGCATTTTTTATGAGTCCAAGAAATGAGGTGATTTTTTGCTGAACATTTTTTCTCGTCTGGCTTCCAATTGAAACTTGGTTCCTTTCTGGTTCCTAGTTTATATCGACAGTTACTTCTCTTTTTTCGTAGTTCCGTAAATATTGGAACATTATAGCAAAGCCCGACTCGAGAAAATATTACTAATAGTGTTTTTACATTCTTCGATATGGATTTCTTGGTAAGATTCAAGAAGACCTGCGATTTTGCAGATTTTCAGGTTTAAATCCAAATTCAACGAGTGACTTGTGGATTTGCATATATGAACCATTTATAGATTTTCTTGAAACGCAAGTATAGATTTTCTTGGTTCCAAAGTCCATTTAGTGACGCAATAAATTGAAGTGGATCAAGCAAAATCTTTTCTTTTTTTGTTCTTTTTTCTCAAAAGTAAAAATCAAATTCAACTAAAAACTAAGAGAAAAATAGATTACATTTGGAGAAAAGGAAATAGAATGAAGTAGATATCGAAAAAGAACTCACGTTCACATTCATTTTGTACGACAATAGTATTGTTTAAATATAATTTCGAGTACCCGATCGGATTTTCGTATCGTTTCAACTACGTAGATACTTTTTAGAAGTTATAAAAATATTTTAATTTTTAAAACAAGATGATATTGTGTTTGTAGTACATGAAATTTTCTAAATATATTATACATTCATAGAATTTATTATTCTAAATCAAAATTATCTTAATAAACTATTTGACTTGCTTTTGTAATTGTATCAAGAAATTATTTAAAGCAAAAAACAATTTCCGAAAAGTTGCACATTTCAAAATACATCTCTTACAATATAAAAATTATATTAAAAAATAAATTATATTTGTCAAATTGTACAATAGCAATGGATTGACTAATTGTGGTGGTCCATAGTGAATTAAAGACCGAAAATGGTCAGTGGGCCCTACACAAGTCTACGTTACAACATACAATTGAATTTCTAATTTTATTTATTTTTTATTTATTGAATTTTTTTTTTAAATTATAATTCCTAGTTCCTACTTGAATCAGGAGACGGACTTGCGTATTAAGTCTTAAATTAAGGCGGTGATTTTAATGTTTTATTACCAACAATACAAAATTACCATTTTCTCCTCTCAACACGTGGCGCCGGTAAAGCTTTTCAGGAGGGTAAAATTGTCATTTTAAATAAAGAACAAGAATAGATTACTTTGGCCCATTTGTCATAAAATTCCTGATTAATTAATTAATTAATTAATAAAGTGTCCTTAATTAATTTCCATTTTCCCGATCAGACGTCTTCTATAAATATACGTCCAAGTCAGGAAAAAATAAAAAAAATGAATTGAGAAAATAATTACGAAGAACCCAGATGATGGAAGAAGAATCCACACTCACGAAGCACGAGATGGACGCCGTTTGGCAGCTAATCCAACTCCGCCGCAGTTCCGCCGACGATTCTCCGGCAGTTCGCCCAAATTTCGCGGCGGAGAAAGAGAACAACATTCGAGCCGCGGCGGCGGCGGAAGCATCACCGGCGTCCGCCTTAATTATTGATGAAGAGAAGTTCTCCGACGAGGAGTTTGAGGCTTTGCCGAGAAGAAAGAGAAAGTATGGATCGCTTGTCGAAATCTACAAAAGGACTCGCCCTAATTTGAACAACAACAACAAGAAGAAACCCAGGTTTTGAAATTTCATCATAATATTGTTTTTTTTTTTTTTTAATTAGGGGTGGAGTAAGAAATCAATTTAGGGTTCTAATTAATTTCTGGATAATCCATCTAATTAATTTTGTACATATAGATTTGTTATAACTTTTATGCTTATAAATTATATCTATGCAATTTAGTATTACTGGTTTCTAATTAATTACAGTCTTTTCTTTAAAATCTTCTCTTGTATTTACCCATATTGGTTATATAATATGGTTTTAGTTTTTTTGTGCCAAGCTTTGGTTTCGGGCTTAAGAAAGCACACACAGACACACATGTGTGTCCGTGTGTGTGTGTGTTTGTGTGTGTGTGTGTGTGTGTGTGTCCATGGCTGTAATACAGCAATTATCTTCCCCAACTTATTGTAATATATGCATGTATGTATATATATATATATATATACATGCATATATAGTATAACAATAGACTCATGAAATGAAAGAACACTACGTACGTTTTGATAAAATAGGAATTCAGCAGTAATATATATATAAATGAAGAACAATGTTATGATCTCTCACGAATATATATAATTTTATGTATATATAATATTAGTTTTGTAGCTCTTGTTAAATCCCGGAAATTTCAAATATACCGGATCGACTATATATGCAGATGTGTACACAAACTAATGCACGTGTGTGTGTATGTGACTTGTGAATGAAGTGCGATCAAAATGAAATCGATATACTAACCGCGATAAATTATTTAAACACAAAAACAAACAAACAATCAACATTTTTTGTACAAGCATATTTTTAATCAAATATATGAAATTTGTGATCATTAAACCGCTAGCGGACAAAATCTGCATAGGGGTGTGAGCTAGCCGGTCGAGCTCGAGGAAAAGGGGCAGGGCAAGAGAAGACGGTCACAAAATTGAAAAAAAATCGGACTACATATATAGGAGTGGAAAGGGAGGGAAATTAAACCCTAGGTTAAAAAGTTTGTGAAGATCGAGACGCCTTTGCCTCTGCAAAACTCACGTGATTAAGACACCGTGCAACGAAATATTAAGTTTATGTAAACTCAAATCATTTTTCTTGGGGGTAAAGTGAATATGATTATAAGTTGAGGGGGCAAAGTGCTATTTACCGTTTATATGCTATAGGTTTCCCATCGCGTCGG